CAGGGCGCAAGTCTCGGCTCCTCAGCGAAAAACTGATGTGCGTTTGCACGCGCTCTCCTTTTATACCCGCACTGCGGGGAGGGGTGCGCATGGCGAAACACGCACGCCAACTGTCATTAGCTTGTTTAGTTAACACTCGAAGGTGATTGGGCTCTCGGGCGAGATCCCAATTCGTCAGTCACGACTGACGTAACGTCTCCGTTCCCGCCTTCAGGGAACGAGGGTTACACAAGTAACCGAGACGTTCCCTGAGGGAACGAGACGCTGCGTCTCAGTGTCATACTTCCGGCATCCCTGCGAGCGCTTACTTCATTTTCCAGAAGCTGCCGCTGTATCCACCGCACGTGCTTTTAAGCGCTTTTTAGTGCTTTTAAGCGTCCTGGTCACTACATCACCCCGCCTGTGATGTCTCGCCAATCCACTGGACTGATTACACACGTAATATAGCGCACGGTCACGCTGAAGGCGTTCCCATAGCGTTTTTATGGAGCATCTCGTTCTTTCAGGGAACCATAGTTACATGCGTAACCTGAGACGTTTTTCCTCAAGGCAAAACTGCTTGAGGACCCAGGACAAAGCCTTGAGGAACACTCTTCATCTGGGGTGTGTTAAAAGAGCTTCTCTATTGGTTTTTGAGCTGCACTTTCTGGTTTTATCCCAATGGTCCATGATTAGATTTTACTGCTAAGAGTCATGTGAGACCCTCTTATTAATCCAAAGAGAGATTGGCACTCGAGACGACAGCATCATTACCTTGCCCTTCACTGTGCGTGAGAGTGAGAGAAAGAGAGTGATAAGTGTGCATGTATGTGTAGGTGTGTGTGTGTTTGTGTGTGTGTCGGGGGGTTTGCTTAAGTTTAAAAATCTGAAGTTTAATAATGCATTATTTCAGCTGCTTTTGTGTAAACACAGATCTAAAATAAAGAATAGTTACAATTAATACTGTAATTTCATCTTTCTAATTAATGAGTTGTCATCTTGTTACATTCCCACAAACATCAGTTTTCCTGTTATGAGTTGTAGCTCCAAGAGATTTTTAAAGAGGAGAGGCCCATTTAAGAATTATTATAATTACTTTAAATGATGTCTAAAAGTCCTCAAGATGAGATGGAGGATGCTTTCTGACTTCAAAATAGTGGAACATCTTTTTCACAGGATGGTTCTTACCTCAGATGCTTCTTGAAGTCTTCTGCTTAGGCTGTTCAATAATTATAATGTACCAGAAAAGATACTATGTAATGGCCAGCAATCAGTGATGGTTCTGCAATTACAGGCTAAGGAAAGCAGTGGTACAAACACCATCATATTGTCCAGGCCAAGGGTTTACTTTTATTTGTAATCATAATTCTTGTTAGGGATGCACCGATACCACTTTTTCCAGTACTCGCCCGATACCGATACTTTTATTTTTGGTACTTGCCGATACCGAGTACCGATACCAATATTTTTATTGCATTTGTAAATGTTTTAAATATTGGGTACAGAAACCAAAAGAGTATGTATAATGTTAGTTGGTTAACTTCATTTATCAAATAGATACAGTCAAACCAAAATGTATTCAGACACCTTCAACATTTCTCACATTATTACAGTTTATTCGCTATAGTTTACAAAATGGTAATAAAATATGACAAGAACTCAATTCAGTCAGAACAAGTACGAGTACGAGTACAGGAGCTCGATTCCAGTATCGGTATCGGTGCATCCCTAATTCTTGTGATTAAATATGATGCTTGTGTTTTGTTGAAGGTGATTTGATTGTTTTTTTGTTTGTTTATTTTTAGTTATTATTTTATAAATACTTGGCAAAGAAAATGATAGAAATCAACACCTTTCTTCCTCTTTTTCTCATCACAGCTACCTCATCCTTAAGCTCTCAGCTCCAGCATCTTCAACAACTCCAACAGCTACAGCATCACCAGCAACAACATCATCATCAACAACAGCAGCAGCAGCAACAACAACAACAACAACAACAACAACAGCAGCGAGAACGAGAGCAGCGTGAAAGAGACCAACAACAAAGAGAACGTGAACGAGAGCAGCACCAACAGCTCTGCGGTCCAACGCATCTCCAGCCACCCAGCCATCATCAACTCACTCCTCCGATTCAATCACAAGTCTCTGGACCTTCTCCGGGCTCCACCTCCACCTGTACCTCCTCCAATCATAGCTCAACCCATCCTCCCCAGTCTCCGCCCCCTCACAGGCAAAACCAATCACCAGCTCGCAGCTTGCCGTCACCTGTCACACCTCCTCTGCCACTACAGGTAAGATTAAATGAAAATTAAACCTTATTTATTTTATTTTATTATTTTATTTCATTTTATACAGTTAAAGTAATGGGAGACATTCACTTAATAATTCACATTTAAAATAATAACTTAATTTTTTAGAATTTTTCTGCATTCATATTATGACAGTCCAGAACTTGGTGTGTTTGATCTGGAAAAAAAGAGAGAGAAAAAAAGCCTTAATGTGATATCGAAATACTTCCTCATATTTCCAGACAGCCGTAGCCTGCAACCTTCTTTGTATTGCTCCTCACCCAGTTCAACTCTTGTTTACACACTAAAAGTGAAGTTATTTAAAGCTATACTATAAGTCGACTCGTGATGGGGAGCAGCTCCAGAGAGCTGCATTGCATGGGGGCAGTCGAGACTGAACGACTCAATGTAATGACCCCTAAATATGATGTCGCTTCACTTAAAGAACTCATTCTTCTACATTATTCACAACATGTCTGGAAGAATGGAGCTCTAGAGTGAGACGAGGTCTAGGATGAATGTTAGAGAATGGGGCAGTAATTCAATTGAATGATTGAATCTGTCTGGGGAAATCTTGGATATTACAAATATTGTTTCTGGAGGAGGTGCCCATTTGCCAAGCCTTTCCCTGAAAAAGAATGAAAATTGAAAGTTTATTGTTAAGAGTTTATCCCAGCCATCTTGCTAGCGACAGCAATAGACTATTATTGGAAATGAAGAGCTGCGGAATATTGAATTACGAGTAATGATGCTTTTGGTGTAATTTCATTTGAAACAATTTTATGATAATCACTTATTGACATGTTGTGAGAATGTATAGTTTATGCAGCCGATTGAACCAGATTAGTTTTCAACATATTTTATCTTTTGCAAATAACATCTTGCATTGGAAAGTCCAAAGAACCATATGCCAGTGTTGACTGGATAAGATGAGTTTGTTGATATTATATTTTGTTATCTGTTATTGTCATGCAGGCTTATAAAATTGAAACAAACCCCACAGATGGCACACATGAGTCGTTGTTGCTTCAGTTAGCTAATGTCTTTTAAAGGGGCCATGTCATATCAAATTTGCTTCGATCTGACATTTTCATTAATAAAAAAGCTTTTTCAACTATGAAAATGTAACTTTAAGCCCACAAAGCGTCCTCAAAATGAGCATTTATTGAAACTAATCTACAAAAAATGACTGCAACTTTGTGTAAAATTCAAATATGATAAAAAAAATTACTAACAATATAATATATGATCTGACCCCTATAAATATTCACATAGCTTATGTTTTAAATGACAAACATAAGTGATCTTTTCATATCTTCCTCTCTTAGTCTGTGTGTCTATCCATCTGTTCCTCCTATTCCTCTTCTTATCTGGTTGTCTTGAGTCGGTCACTAATAACATGCCCTCCTCCCTACATGTCCCAGTGGTTTCATTTCGGTTTGAGGGTTGCCTCTCCATCCTTCCCCGCATTCATCAGCGTCACAGCCCTTATTGCTCTGTGCTGTACCACAACCCCACTACCCCTTCCCCCTTTTTATAGCTGCCATCAGTTTAGTAATTTATTTCACCTTCTGTCCCTCTGCCCAGCCTGTATACTCACCAGCTGGATCCTATGGGGCCCCACATTTAATGGTCTCCAGAGCCCAGAACTAGTGGTTTCTGTGGGATTCCTTAGGAAAGGCCAGCCTGATATTTCTTCATTTGCAGTGGAAGCACACCTGGTTTCGATCTGTCAAGTTATCATCAAGCCCTTCTGATACATGATTCAGAATAAAGTAAATGCGAGGGTGTGATAATGGGGCCTCCAAATGCTTGGCTTTAATGCGTGATGTTGGCAGCCTCATTGGTTGTATGCAGGTCTAGATGTTTGTGAATTGTCCTACATGGAAATGTGTATCTGATCATATGTGCACAGATTTTAAAGGGGTCATATGATGCGATTTAATTTTTTCCTTTCTCTTTGGAGTGTTACAAGCTCTTGGTGCATAAAGAAGATCTGTAAATTTGCAAAGACTAAAGTCTCAAATCCAAAGAGATATTCTTTATAAAAGTTAAGAGTCAGCCACACCCCCCTAAAACGGCTCGTTCGAACACGCCCCCACATATCTACCTCACTATGTGGGAAGATTTGCATAACGCCGCCCAAATGTTCACGCAAAGAAAGAAGGCGTAACTTTTATTCTCGCTGTAGTATTGTTGTTGCTGCCGCCGCCATGTCCTGCAGACGCTGTGTGCGTCGTTGTGAAAGCTAAACTACTTTGTTTGGTCTTCCAAAAGAGGACGATATCCGCTTCGTCATGCCTAGAGCTGATTTAAATTACTTTTAATAATTTTCAAAGTCAAAGAAAATGTCTGTGATTATATTGATACTATGTTAGAAACATCTTTAAAAAGTTGCAATACTGCTTATCAGGATTTCAACCAAGGCAAAAACTGCATTTGGACCCAGGACAGAGACTTGCCGGAACACCCTTCGCCTAGGGTTTGTTAGTAGAGCTTCTCTACAGGTTTTTAAATATGAGTCCTGTTAGTGGGTGAAATACTTGTACTTACCAGGGTTTTGACCAAGGCAAAACTGCTTGAGGACCCAGGACAAAGCCTTGAGGAACACTCTTCACCTGGGGTGTGTTAAAAGAGCTTCTATATTGGTTTTTGAGCTACACTTTCTGGTTTTATCTCAGTGGTCCATGATTAGATTTTACTGCTAAGAATCATGTGAGACCCTCTTATTAATCCAAAGAGAGATTGGCACTGGAGATGGCAGCATCATTACCTTGCCCTTCACTGTGTGTGAGAGTGAGAGAAAGAGAGTGATAAGTGTGCATGTATGTGTATGTGTGTGTGTCGGGGGGTTTTAAGTTCCCACTTCATGGGGGTCCACATTACCACTTTACCATTGTGATTGTGTGTGTGCGGCAGGGTTTGCAGCCTGCCTGTCCTGTGGTTCTGCAGTTGTAATTGGGCTTATGTCTATGTCTGCTTGAGAAAGTTACAGCATACTTCACCAGAGTGTTGTTACTAGCCTTTAGGGGCAAGCACAGTTAGACACTGCAAACACCTAGAGAATTTTGAGAATGTGTATTTCCAGGATCTGTCATAATTATCCCTTCTGGTCACACAGGTACCACCCCGCCCTCTCGGTTTCTCTTGCCTCCCATTCCTCTCTTTGGGTGTAATCATTTTAGTAAGGGAGGGCAGACAGGTCTCCTATTATCTGAAGACACCTAAAGGCCCAGATAGAGGCCTTCTGTTGCTGAACTGACAACATGACAGCATGTTAGCATCCCACTCTGATAATACCACAGTCAGTGTGTCCAGTGTATGAAGCTAAGTGCTCACCGCCTGCACTCTCTCTCTCCCTCTGTCTTGCTCTCATTTTTCTTGTCTCGACTCTTTCTTTATTTGGTCAAAAGTTCAGACAGGGTTGTTTTTGGAGGTCTCTGACCCTGAGTTCCTTTAGACAGTTCAATTTTATGATTTTCCAGTAACATTTTTCGATAACACTTTACAATAAGGTTCCATTAGTTAATGTTAGTTAATGTATTAACTAACATGAACAAACAATGAACAATTCATTTATTACAGTATTTATTCATCTTTGTTCATGTTAGTTAATGAAAATACAGTTGTTAATTGTTAGTTCATGTTAATTCATAGTGAATTAAGTAATGTTAACAAGCACAACTTTTGATTTTAATAATGCATTAGTAAATGTTTAAATTAACGTTAATAAATGCTGTAGAAATATTGTTCATTCTTGTTTCATGTTAACTAAAGTATTTAACTAATGTTAACTAATGAACCTTATTGTAAAGTGTTACCCATTTTTCTGTAGGCAGTAATGTTTTTAAACTGATTTGAGTGGAGATGCATGCTTGTTTCTTTATTTTAGTTTAACCAAGGTCTGACAAAACTAGCATTAATAATGACAACTATCACTTAGATTATATTTGGATCTCGATTGTGGTGACTGCATCATTTAAACTTATAAATGTACTGTAACATATAATAAATGTATAAAATCTACGAATAAAAAATAAATAGCAGTATTTAACTATATTTTTAATTTACTTAAATACACTATTAAATTATGACCCTTTTAGAATTGAGTTTTTTTTTTTGTTGTTGTTGAAACAAACTGATTTGCTGCTGATTTGCTTTTGTCCATATAATGTTGTTTCAGAACCAACTGACTTTTATGTTATGGACAAAAACTTTTTTTTTTTTTTCAAAATATCTTCTGTGTTCAGCTACACAGGTTTGGAATGACTCAAAAGGGTGAGTAAATGTTGATTTTTGGGTGAACTATTAGGACCATTGCTATTTTTATTTAGCTACTCCACAACACTGTATCAAAATATTACCATTGCAATCTTGTAATCCAAAGTTTAAAACATCTCCCATCCATCTCCCCTTCTGTTTTTGAAAAACTGATTCTTTGACTTAATAGCAAACTCTAACAACAAAAAAAATCTAAGGAAAAAAAGGAAGAATAAGCAGGGAAGGCAGAGATGAGCTGTTGTGACGACAACCAGACGGTGGAGATTATGAATTTGTGAGATTATGAAAGTGTGTTAATTGGTTGATTAGCGGGGTGGCTGGATTTGCAGGTGCTGATTGATTGGAGCGACGGGGTTTCTCCACGCTGAGGGGACTCGGGGATTTGAGGAGGAGGGGGCAGTTCGGTGGGCAAGCCGGTTACACCGGAATTGATCTTAATTAGATCTGAGAGACCTGCCACAGCAGAATGGTCACAGCGATTAAAATGAAAAACAGGAGAAATTACTGATCAAATTAATCATAATGTCAGCCTACAGCTGTAGGTCTGCTGTAATTTGCCACTCCACTGGCTTACATCAGCCCTAAGCCATACACACACGCACACTGATCTGTGGCAGAAAGAGAGAGAGGGGAGCAGGGCAGACCATCCATGCACAAACACACACACAGAGTGAGTCAGGCACACTGATATATAGGCACATATACAGTATATACACTCGTGT